GCTAATTAATAATTATTGAACTGTTAAATAAATCAACAATAACAAAAAACTGTAATGTTGTAATGGGAGTCAAATAATATGTAAATCTACATTAAATGTTAATAATGTTTACCAACTTCAAGACATTGTAATATCATTAGTTCAAATAATAATCTATAATATTAAATATTGAAATGTTAAATAAATCAACAATCATACATTGAAAAATATAGTAGATGTCAGATATGTAAATTTATATTGTAGAAGTTATGTAAATTCGTATTATATTGTCAATGCGTATCAAAGGAAATAAGGATTTTGTAAACAGATTTATGAGTAGAAAGCATAATTAATTGTATACCAATTTGATAATTGTTGTCCAGTGTATGTTTATATCAAGAATATGTCCAAAATATGTTTTATAGTTTATATTAGTTATATAATAAGTTTATGTCCAGAATATGTTTTAGATCAGGGATTTTGTAGAACTGTTTTGTAAGTGAAAGGTACGTTTTATATTTTTATGATTTCTACAATACTTGTGTTTTTATATGTATGTTATATTTTTTATATGTATGTTATATTCTTTTTTAATGTTTTAGTTGGCTGAAGAGGGGCTTAAGAGCCCGAAACGTGTAAAATTTTCACACGTATCAACTAAATAAAGATGAGAAAACCCGCCAAGTGTCTTAATTTATACCACTTTATTGTGTTAGAAGCATAAACAAATTGTAAAGCACGGTTTCATATCATTAAAATAATAGAATAAATTTAAACACGCGGTTACAGTTTGACGATATACGGTAACAGTCAACACTACCGGAATAAAACGGGTCAATGTAAATGTCCTCCTTTCTAGGTTGTTTATTTACGTCAACATTACGACTAATATATGCCTGAACTTACCTCTCAGTCTTGTTGTGTCACATTCTTCCTACTTTCTATATGGAAGGATTTTAAATACCACTCTGTTGTACCTTTCTAACATGAGTATATGGGAAAGCACGATGTCATTTCGAAATGTTCTGGTTAGCAAAAACTTTCGGTTTAAATATCAGGTAATTATCATATGAAAAGACCATACTATTTGAATGAAAAATGTCTATATTTTCTACTACCAGATACGCTGTAAACACAGCTAAAGAAAGGTGTAATATCCGAAACGTATATTGTACTTGAATCAAGCCTATTTTACGCCATTCACCTTTTATTCCTGTATGATAAGTCAGTTATATAAATGTTAAATTACAAAGGTCAATGTTATGTTGGGGAGATTTCTGATCACCCTAGATAAACACCCAAAATATGTATCAAATTAAAGCTTATGACCTAAAGAAAACAATTGCATCAGTTTCGAGCCGAGGAACTGGAGGAACGGTTAGAAAATACTTGTTTTTTCTTCCGTGGATCGATTGATTTTTGCATTTAATTTGTAAAAACGTATAATAAGTTCACTAAACGTAGGTGTTAAGTATCATTTATTTAATTTTCTTAACTAAGTAGGAGCAAAAGTACTGCAATTGAATACAAAAAGATTCAGGGAATTTCAAAAGGATGAGAAGAGAGATTACAGTTGTAAGAGAGCATCACGTCGTCCTCATTTATTAGAAATAGTTTGCATAAGTACAGATGTAATGCAATCCACGAAAATATACTTGTTTTTTTTTATTTGAAACTAGTGTCATTGAGTTCTTATCGTCATAATCTTTAATCAGATATAGCCTGGACTTTGGGCGCTGCATGGAGGTTTGACACTGAACCTTTAGTATAATTATTCGTATTACTTATACTAAAAAATTAAAAGAGATAACTTGTTTTTCTAACGCCTTCAGAAGTAATCAGCAATGTCACATGAAAATCAATATTATCAAGATTTAGAGTTATTTAGTGTCCTTGCTGCAGGCCTTTTCTAATATCTGGAATTTTTTAAAGTAAAATTGCGTGGGAAAAATTAACGAAATTAACTAAATAGAATAATCCTAGTTAAGGAATTTTTAGAAAATAATGTAAACAATGTAATTTCGAGCATATTAACGAGATATTAGCGTATAAATATATAAATGAGCTGCTGCTTGATATCCATCATCGTGAAAAAGCTTTCCAATGAGAAGCAACTGCGTATTATTCATCTGCTGAAAAAAAAATTTTACTGTTGAGAAAACAGCATTAGAGGTTGGTGTTGGGTGTTGGAGTGTACCACAATAAAAAATAGTTAACTACCATATTACGACAATTTAAGAGTTGAAGGAAGAAAACGTTGAGTGCCAAAACAGAATCATGAACAGTAAAGAGACAAGTGAAACATGGCTAAACTTTTTCTCTCTCAAACACTATAAAGTGTGCAATTAATCGAACACTAGGCATCTTTTCATTTTTTTATTTATTCTATTAGTTCGTTGGCAAAAATGGCTACACTGAGATACTTGACATTTATTTCTTACAATCTGTTTAATATTACTATATTGATAGGAGCTCTTTCATTTATCGGTAAGATAATGATCCAAAAAATATATCCAGGAGGGCGAGGTCAGGAAAACGAATATATCCAGGAAAACGAAGTCATTAACCTCCATTTTTACCTAATTCTTAGTTTTTTCGTGGCAATTAATGGAAAACGGCAAAGTTTTCTCAAAATCGACTGATCAAAGTTTGAGAACGAAGGCAATTCTGTGAGCCACATATAAGAGGCTTCGCGAACGTCTCTACTAAAAAATTCGCATTCTTTACAAGGTTATAAATTAGCAAAACTAATAGATTATATACAGTACATTGAGCATATACAGTAGTTGCAGGGCGATAAGGAATTTAAGAAATGGATCATCACAATTTTGTAATATTTTCGGAAATTTAGTATTATATATCACGCTGCTATAGACGAACGCAAACACTAAGCTAAATTCTTTTGTAATTTTCTGTATTATGTAAAAAAGTGTCGACATTAGCAACACTGTTAACAATCTTCTTCAAATAGACATTTCAAATTTTAATATTTGGTTTTTATGATAACCAAATTGAAAAATTTTACTGATATATATTGAAGTTAGCTTCATTGTTATGTTTTATATCTAGTTTAGAAGCATAACACAATGGCAAGAAAGATGGGGCAAGTGTCATTTCTTTTACCTCTTTAACATAGTTGAAGTCTTTTGACATAAGGCGAAAGCAATTGTTTTCATTGATATCACCTTATAAAAAACTGTACTTTGATGATCTCTTCACATTTGAACAAATCTTTCGTATGTTTCAGTTTACAGAAACTGGAAAGGAAAGAATTTTTCTATAAAAAACATTTTTAATGTTTGGAACCATTCTGAAATTTGAATATTTGTAATGGTGTTTCGTAGATTTGTGAAGATGCATGTAAATTTTTAAAACTGGTTTTAATAGGGAAAATATCCATGGAGAACCCTTTTGATCTATAGGGACGTTCGTACCCGCTCACGATGTCAATGGATGGCGATATTAATAAAATGCCGAGAAAACATCACACATCCCGACGATTTTATAACATCATCTTTTTCAAGAAAATGTTTTATTTCCTTTTTCCACGAAGAGAGACTCAAGATGTGTCTTTTTTGACGTTAAAATGTTACTTTAAATTGTTAATTAATTGAATAAATTTTTAACTGATTAAAAGTAAAATCGTTCTCTACTCTGAAATACTCACATAAACAATCACAATTACTTAACTATTCACTTAGATTAAACCTGTATTAATACTCAAACACTTTAGCTTCTTGAGACAATGTTTTTTAAACCTACACAAACATTTTCGACCTTTTCTACAAGTCATCCCCTTGTGTGAAATACAATGTATTAATCGTTTCAAATACAATGCACTCGGTCCTCTTTACACGGTTTTCGTTATAAGGACTTTTCGATTTATGGCCCGAAAATTTCGTATATGACCAATAAATAAAAAAAGTCAGCACTAGTGTTATTGTCGATGCACAACGCGAGTCTACCACCCCTGCAACTATCAAAGCGCAGTAAATAGTTGTCATTTACTGATACATTAAATGTAACATAATATAATCGTGTGAGGGCCAGGATTTAAGAGGGCCGAGATTCGAATAGTTATATTCATTTTTATTCATTCATTTACCGTTTTGTTTCAAAATCAAACCGATTTTTTTAAAGTTAGGGTTAACACAAAAAGGGAAAAACAACCGACAAATTTTCTCATAAAAATCGCTCATAAAAACTCCGTTCCCACGACAATACTTCCCTGTAGAAGATGAGTTAACTGTTGTGTCATAAGTTTGTCACTTCGCCCATCATTGGTCAANCTTTAAATAGTTTTATGTAAATGTTTAGAAATAAGTAGATCAGATAATACCGTATTTTACGGAGATCCTTTCCTTTCATTTTCGTATTTACATCTTTGATTGTTTTTATAATTTCAAATTCTTTAATTATTAATACGATCTTTAAATAGTTTTATCTAAATATTTAGAAATAAGTAGATCAGATAATACTGTATTTTACGAAGATCCTTTCCTTTCATTTTCGTGTTTACACCTTTAATCGAAGAATTTGAAATCATAAAAACAATCGTTTCTAACCTTTTCTCGAAAATTGTGATTTGAAAAATGCTGGAGAAAAAATGACAGAATTTTTTACGTTCGTCGACATTAAGTCAAGAAACTTCAGTCGACGAAGAGACTTAAAGCAGTTTCAATACTTTTTACCAAACTCTAGGGCCATTCGACATTTCACGAAATGTTTACGCGAAAAATCGTCTTCAGCTTCCGAGGAAATCTTCCTTCTGTTTCCTTTCTAATGTAATCGTCAAAGAGATTTTCTTCTTCGAATCGACACTATAAATAATCATTTTAAATATAAGTAAGTGTACAATAAAATAGCTAGAAAATATTATGTCGGAATCGAGCTTATTTGCTGTCCCTTTATTGGAGGTTACCGCAAGAGGCGCTGCTGTTAATCGTTGCGCTACACTAACTGTATCATCCTACACAATTAAATTAAATTCATTTTTAAAGGGCACCTTATCCAGAAATCCGGCACTTTTAGCTTTTCAAAATCTTTAAGCCGAAGGGACGAAGACGACGAAGATGCCGAGGACAATTCTGGCTCGATATGTAATTCCTGAAAAGAGAGAAGAGGAGGGTTGACCGTCTTCTTCTTGTTTGTGTTATTAATTAAATTTCTGTTTGATCTTCCGAAACTTTGACTTATCAATCCGAAGTTTCGACAGCGTCTCATCGATAATCAAAATGACTTAACTTTAAAATATGAACTTTCTAGACCCAGTAGTTTTTTTCTACGAGTGTGTGCAGTGCCGGTAGAAGAAAATTAAGGAAAAGAAAATACAGATTTTTTGGCGATTTTTGCGCTTTTCAATGGCTTATAGAAAATGTAGAAATTTTGCAAATTACCGAAGAAAATAATTACAGTGGTACCTCAGCATACGAAATTTTCAGGATACGATACGAAATTCGAACATATTTTTGCTCCACGATACGAACAAAAACTCACCATACGACGTCACATTAGTTCGCAGCGCCATTTTTTATTCACTTCTGTTCATCGGTCTTGGTCCGCGCGTTTGCTTCGTCGTGGAAGGATCTTGCTCGACAAAGGAAATCTCGAGGTATTATCAGAAAGCGACTGATTTTATTGAAAAGAAACATCCCAAAAAGGTTCACACTGGCCGTATTGCCGCTCGGGGTAATGACATTTGTCTAAGTCACTTTAGAAACATTTTAAAAAGTAGGCAAAGCCACATCTCTTTGGATAGATATTTTACCAAGTGACCTCTATCCAGTGAAAGTGCTGGTGGAAATGAAGGAAAGAAAGCAAAAAAGCAGTGAATAAAAAATTAAAAAGAAATGAAACAGAAAAGATTAAAAAATTAGTGATAAGTTATTTTTAAGTTATTGTTGCATTATGTTATGTAAGTTAAGTTTTAGTATCATTTCTCTTCTCTCTCTCTTCCACCACCAGTTTACACCTCCACCGTCGTCTATCCTCAGAGGTAACGTGCAAATAAAACTGCATTTTTTTAATCAATTATTATTCTATTATGGTTATTTATACATTTACAACTACAAAACGCATTTTTCAGTGTTTTCCTTACTATACTTATTTTTTTTTTTTAATGTACAACTTAGCTTTAATTTGAGTGTATTTTTCGTGTTGGAACGAAGTATTTGGTTTTACGTGTAATCGTATGGGGAAAAATGATTTACCTTACGACATTTTAATGATACGATCTGAGTTTCGGAACGGATTAATTTCGTATCCTGAGGTACCACTGTATATTTCGAACGAGAATTTCGGAATTACTTCGAGTGTTTGGGGCAAAGAAACCAACACCCGAACATCGGCAACCGATTCCTCTACATATTCGTATAATTATTCCGCGACTTTTTACTTGGAATTTACTAATCGAAATTCCAAAATATTTTATAAATTTTTCTATATATTTCTCTTTCAAATTTTTTTATTTCCGTAGGCGTATGGAAGAATTCTCTCCGTTGCCGCAACAACCGACATCCGTTGTCTTTCAGTAAATAATTAAAACCTAAATTTTTACCTTTAAATGGCCGAGAGCTTTTCTTCGATTTCTCCTCGGAACAATTGGCCTTTCACAAAATGAATTAATGACAGAAAATGTATTCCGTTTTTCTTGTCGTCGTCGAGTCAAACATCTTTCAACCGTTCCATTGTAACGAAAGAATTTTCAAATCGTAAGAAATCCAGTGGCGCCGTCTGTAATTTCCGTTGAAAGAATCTTCCATTTTTGTTAATATTTTTGTCTTCAAATTTTCAACGATATTTTACTCGAATACAGTTTACCGGGAATAAAATCGCATTCGAAATTTACTACAAATAAATAATTTGGTAAACTAATAGCCTCGTCGTGTCGCTTCTACGATAGTTTTTTGAAAAAGTTCCGTAGTGACCGCGTGACGTTCGTACCACTTTCGTAAATAATGTTGTAAAAATCCACTAAAATATCTTCATCCAGTAATTTCAAAATTTCAGCGAGAACTTCGTCTGGTCCGGTAGATTTACCTTCTTTAGTTGTTCTAATTGCATTCTTACTTCTATTTTCAATATTGTCGGTCCTTCTTTTAGGATCCCACACGCGTTAAGGAAATCCTTTGAAGGACCCGGCCTTGAGGAATTCCTGCGCGGACCCGGCCTTGAGGAATTCCTGTTAGCGTGTGTGGGAAAACTATAGAGGCCCGAGGGAGGAAAACTGTACCGTTTCGCTGGAGTAGAAACGAAAAACCATTCGAAAAGCCAACCGTAACGTGTGTGCCTTCGTGACGTTATAATTAATAATATAATAATATATTATATTATTAATTGTTGTTATTTGTTGTTATTTGTTGATCTCAAAACATTGAGTACNTTTTCGCAAAAAAATAACATCAGAAATCGCGGCCGCGGTATGCTGAGTTGTTCCGCGACGAAAACAAGCTTGAGCATTGGCAATGTCGAATGGTGCACACTCGGTAAGTAATCCTACAATTTTTTGTTTATAGCGTAGTTTATACGGATTATTTCGAAAAAATATACGTATTTTGGAAATGTTGAGTCAAATTAATCTAGAATCGATTAATTTTATGGAAGAAAACCTTTCAAACAGCCGTAGTCCGTAAACTTCACACGTGTCGGGCTGTGATTGGAAGAACTCGTAAGAAATCGGATTCCTAAAGAATGGAACGTATCTACTATCTTATAGGGGATCGACTGTATTCATTTTACAATAGATATGTAAATAATTATTTTATTAAACCTTGCAATATAAAAAATAGTTATAAATTTTTATTCTAATACTCCTATTTACATAAAAAAGAACATATTTCGCATGTATCTAAACAAAATTAAAACGAGAACTACTTGTATAGATGATAAAAATTCTAAAATAAATAACTTATACTTTCCTGTTAAATAACTATCCACATGATTTAATTGTCAAGTGGCTATATCATCACAGTATGTGAAAAAAAGAGGGAAAAACAAATAAGATAAATTCTTCTGTAATTTAGAATACTCAAAGAATAGTAAAACCTTTTTAACATATCATTAGATCCGTTATTAACTCTGCTGTTGCTATTTATTGCACTGTTAAGGGCTGCGAACAAGTAATAAAAATGTGAAAATTTTGAAGAAAAAAAAATAATTGTATTAAAAAAAACTACACTAAATAATAAAAGTTCCCTTAAATAATAGAATAAATATGTTTATGTTTCTAACACAATAAAGTGGTATAAATTAAGACACTTGGCGGGTTTTCTCATCTTTATTTAGTTGATACGTGTGAAAATTTTACATGTTTACACGTTACGAAGAGGGGCTTAAGAGCCCGCTCTTAAGCCCCTCTTCAGCCAACTAAAACATTAAAAAAATATATAACATACATATAAAAACACAAGTATTGTAGAAATCATAAAAATATAAAACGTACCTTTCACTTACAAAACAGTTCTACAAAATCCCTGATCTAAAACATATTCTGGACATAAACTTATTATATAACCAATATAAACTATAAAACATATTCTTGATATAAACATACACTGGACAACAACTATCAAATTGGTTTACAATTGATTATGCTTTCTACAAAATCCTTATTTCTTTTGATACACATTCACAATATAATACGAATTTACATAACTTCTACAATATAAATTTACATATCTGACATCTACTATATTTTTTACAATGTATGATTGTTGATTTATTTAACATTTTAATATTTAATATTATAGATTATTATTTGAACTAATGATATTACAATGTCTTGAAGTTGGTAAACATTATTAACATTTAATGTAGATTTACATATTATTTGACTCCCATTACGACATTACAGTTTTTTGTTATTGTTGATTTATTTAACAGTTCAATAATTATTAATTAGCACATTGATCACAATAATAATAATTTGAATCCAGTGAATATAATCAATATAAAATTTTTAACCAGTTTTCGTTTATAGAGATGCTAGGATTTTTATTTATACTATTTTGATTTTTGATTATTTCTATACTTTCTTTGAATTTTCTTTTATATGTATCTTTTTCTCTGTGTAAAATATCTATATTATTTTTGTCTAT